TAAAAACTATCTCTGCTATATAAGATCTTATCACTCTTTAAAATAAAATCTTTCTTTTGATGGAATGACTAATATTGAATTAATATATCTCATTAATAATTTGATCTAATATACTTAAACTAAGTGTGTTAGATTCATTTATCATAGTTCCTTTAAAAAATAATAAATAGACTATTATATGTAAAATTTAAATCAATAGATGAATTTGTGAAAGTATATTTATTTGCAAGAATTTGATATAAATGTATAAAGGGAAACAAAAAATATATATGTGTAGTTATATAGATACACTATGTATGTATATTTTTCATGTGTGTACGTATAAATAAATGCATGTATGGGTATATATGATTAAAATAATATTTTGTATGCATGGATAATCCTTATGTTTAGATGAGTATTTATATATGTAAACAATAATGCATGAAGGTATATATATATATATTTAAATAACAATAATAAACTTTATAATTATAGTCATAAAATTTACAATATGGAGTAAGTTATAAGAGTAGAAGAATATGATTAATAAATAAATTTAGAAAAAAAAAATGTATACATATATATGGGAGAAGAATAAAGAAATTAAAACTTAATTAAGAATTAGGTAAATTTTGATAGTTAGAAGAGTTGAATTTAATTGAACACGAAATTAAGGAGAATTTAAATTGATGATTAAATAATCAATAAGAATTAAATTTAAATGGATAATTAATTGATAAGTAGATTAAATTAGCCATAATCTACTTATCAATTTTGAAAATCATTTTGATTTAATAAATATATAAACAAATTAATAAATTTTGTTTCGAATAAAATAGATGATATAAGAAAATAATTTAAGAAAACATAAAAAGAATATTTGTAATGATTTCTTTTAGAATTGAATGAATAATAGATAAAATAAATTAAAAAGAAATTATTAATTAATTAAAGCAAGATTAATATAAAATGATAAAAAAGGATTATTTACGAAATTATGTAATTAATCAAATAGACAAAACAAAGAAAAGTTAAATTGAATAATTGCCTTAGTAACTAGAATAGTTGTAGAAACGAGATGGGTATGCAATATGATTGCATGAAACTCTTGGGTTCACCACTGACCCGAGAGGGCTTAGTTGCTATGTAGGTTTTTACTAATATTTGTATTGTGTTTGGAATTCAACTCGGAATCCTTTAACTCCAAAGTCTGTAAGTATATTTAATAGCTATCTCGAAACCACATTCGCATATTTTTAAAAATGTTTTCAAATGAAAACCTAATTAAGTTTTGAGTAAGGTTTATAAAATTAAGGAATCGGCATTGATAATCAAGTAGGTGGAAGAAATAGGAAAATGGTGATACTTAATGTTTTAATTTGTCATTTGCTTATTGCTTGATTGTTGAATAAAGATTGCATGTTTTAAATACTGTATGATAGTTGATGGTATGATGAGTTGAATAGTTTGAGTAAAATATTAATAATAGTGCATATTCACCAATAAGATGATGAACACATAAAATAACTCTCATTAATAAAATAACATCAATAAAATAATGCACATTCTTAAATAAAATTAGGAATTTAAAATAAAACTAATAAAACTAAAAACTAAAAATAATAAAAGTACTAAAACGTAAATAATAAAAAAAATGATAATTGAATAAATTTAAATAAACAGGAAAGTGTATGATTAAAGGGACTTAATGAGTTCTATAAGGATCGAAAAGAGACAAACTACGAGAATTAAAATAGTGTGAGATATAGAGTAAAGTTAAGTAAGAAAGTGTACAAAGTCTCTAGGGAATATAAATAGTTTGTTAAGAAAAATAAAAAGATAAATCTTAACTAGAATAGGAAAACAACAAAAATAAAACAAAAACTTGGAAGAAATAAAAATTTAGAGATAATCCATTTAAGGTTGGTATAACTAAAACTCAACAGTGTGGTGAACCCTATCCTTGGGTGGATGGAAACCCTTCCAGACGTGGTTATGGTGTGTGTTATGTTCTGAGTCACCTGGTGACGAACTACTGTGACCAATGTGTGTGTTTTTGCTGTATGTGTACATCTGGTTGCGATAGTGGGAATCTTGATCCCATAATGATACCAATTGGATAATGGATACACTCATCCAATCTAAAAAAAAACTCTAAGACTTTAATAACTTTAATTTGATGATTGTGTTGGGGCAAATGCATAATCGAAGATACTTGCTGAGGGGCCACAGATGTCTCGATTTGATGAGAAACTTGCAAGAAATTATAGTATGCGAATTTGTGGGATAAGTATGGATTAGAGGAAAACTAATGGATGAGTATGGTTTTGGAACCAGATGTGATGTTATAATAGTATGTGATATGGGTTGTTACAATTAGGGAATTAAGAAATGAAAGCTATTATGGGGATAGTGAGAAAATAATGAGAAATGGAAATTTTGAGAGATAACTAGTAAAGGAGAATAGTGAGAGGAAAAGACTAGTTAGAGTTAGGAGGGAGAAATGAGGGAGAAGTTAGAAATTGGATTTCTTTACATTCAATGGTTTTTAAACATAATGAAAAAGAAAAGATTTACATTTCTAATTGATTATATGTTTGTATGTCGCATGCCTAAGGTGTAGTCTATCTTATATACTTATTGAGTCCATTGTTTTGCTCATTCCATTCAAATTTTAATCCTTTTCAAATCAGATCGAGGAAGATAGTTTATAGAGCCAAATAAGGAATTTTATGTTTTAGTTTTCATCTAGTGAGTTTTAGTCCAATTATGGACTCTACAGAATTTTGTAACCTCATGATGTAAATTATGTTACATGTTGTACAAGGGAGGAATAGTTTCTGTTGTGCTTTTATTTTTAAATTTTATGTTGTATTTTTTAGTTCAGTTGTGTTTGGTGACATGGTTTCTCATTGGAGAACTGCAGGCTGTCACAGGTGGTATTAGAGTAATGTAACCCTAGTGCATCCCTTATGCATGAGGTATCAAAGTGTTGTGGAGTCTTAGGGCTAGGTTTCTACATAGAATTTCCCACTGTGGGGGAGAACTTTTCTCAATTGGAGAAAATCCCCCATATGAGAAGTCCTTCATGTGGAAGAAGTCCCTAATGTTTGAGAAATTTTCCCTATTTTTGGTAGGAAATCCCCATGTTGGTTGAAATCTTCCCTAATGGAAGAAACCCCCCTAGTGGGAGAAATCCCCCTAAGTGGGAAAAGTCTCCCATGTGGGAAAAATCCCTTTTACAGGAGAAATATCCCCCAAATGGGTGAGATATCCCCCAAGCGGGAAAAAATTTCTCAAGTAGGAAACCATGATCCCTCGAGTAGGAAAATTTCCCAATGAGGAAAAATTCCTAAGGCGAGAAAAAATCCTTTAAACAAACACTTCCTAGGAAAAATAGCCCTAAGTCCAATGGAAATCCTATAGCAATTCTAATTTTCTTTCTAAGAATCTCCTTACATCTCTTTAAGATAACCTGAGACCTTAAGTATTCTAAAACTCTTTTCTCAGTACCAAAAATCAGCTTAGGAGCCAAAACAAAATAATTCCTGACTAAAATTCTTCCTCCTAATAGTTCCAACATTCCTAAATAAAATTTCGTGAGTGAGGGGTAGGACTTTAAGAGCATATTTTCACATTCAACCATCAGCAGACTTCCTATCTGCATCTCATCAGAGTGGGGCAGTGGAAGTGTGTTGAACTCTAACAACATTGGTATGATTTCTCTCTTCAAACCAAAAAGAGGAAATTGATGGTGTGATAAACTGGTGACTTGTATCTTAATGTCATAGTTAAGAGTAGTCACTTGGAATTCTTGGGAACATGTTGGGTACCTGCGAGAACTAGAACTAAACATAACAATTTGTAACAAAACTAATGACTTAATATACTACTAAAAGAATTCCTAATCACCATCAATACCACAACTCTCTGAGCCAATTACAACCAATTAAATTAAAAAGAAAGTTAGGAAACAAATGAATTAAATTAGAAACCTGAAACCTAAGGCTTAATATGGTTGTAGATGAAACAATACTTCGTTAACCAAACAAATTATTCTCAAAAAAATTTGAATAAAATACCATCAAACCTAATCTCTGAAACAAAGAAACACACCTACAAATGAAATTCCTAAAGCACGTGTTATGATAAAAAAACTATTAACATGACATTAGGAAAATATAAAAATAATTAGGTATTAAAGATACCCTTAAACAAAAATATTTTACATATAAGAGTTAAAAAAGAGAATATCACAACCTAAAATATTTTCCTTAAAGAATATGTTATAACCACTCAAATATGTTCACGAACATACCAACAGAGTACATGGATGGATGTTTATGGGTCATTGCAAATGAAAATTTGGAGGACCAAATTTCTTAAGGGGGAAAACTGTACCAGCCCGAAAATCGAACTCTGAATTTTATTTGCAAAATTTGGGAGAAAATTAGAAAAAAATGTAAAACAAATTAAATTTAAAAGTAATTTATTTGGGAATTAAAATATTATTTAAAAAATTAAAATAAATTAAGAAAATATTTTAATGTATATATATTAAAACTTGTAATTAGTAAAACAAAATAAATTTTAGAAAAATAATTAGGAGATATTAAAATCAATAAAGTAATAAAATTAAATTAGAAAGAAAGTTAGAAAATTAATTGACTTAAAAATTGATTAGAAAATATTAAATTTTGTAAATTAATTAAACTAAATATTACAAAATATATATAAGAACAAAAAAAAAAGAAAAAAAACAACAAATTAGAATTAAAAATTCACTATAATGGAAAGAACCAATCAAATAAGAGAGGGTGCATGTGAGATTAAAACATGGGAAAAAAATTAGGAAATGTGAGGCCACATGGCCACCATGCACATGAATGGGAAGATTCCCTCCCACTCCTAGATTGCCACATCATCTAATTAAACCACCTCATCATCCTTATCCCTTCCCCCATCATATAAATACAAAACAAAACATTTTTCTCTCTCTTTCAATCCATCAAATGAAAGGATAAAAAGAGAAGAAAATAAGAATAGGGAGGAGAGGGAGAGACAAGAGAGGAAGAGAAAGAGAGAGCATTGAGATGATTGGCATGACGGAGGGAACAAAAAGAAGAAAAAGATTTGAGAGGGGACACTGCTAGTGGCCTAACCACCGTGTGGCCGTCCCTCTCATGTAAGTTCTTCTTCCGAACGTCCAAACGTGAGTTCTTTTTCTTCTTTAGTGATTCTCTTCCTAAATAGTTTAGAGTGGCATGCATGATATTTAAAATAAATACATTTTTGGTTTGCTTTATTTTAAATAAAAAGCACATTGATTAATTTACCCATGTATTATCTATCTATTTTATCCATCTCGATCAGCATTACTAATAAGTTGGAAAAAATCCAATGTAGATTTATTTGGGGTAATGAGGAGGGAAGTAGAAAATACCATCTATTAGGTGGGAGCAGGTGAAGAAATTGGTTTGTTAGGGGGGGCTGGCTTTGAGGTCCATTAGGGAGTTAAATTGTGCATTTCAAAAGAAATGGTTATAGAGGCCGTTTGTTGAAGAGGGGAGGATGTGGATGAAGTTATTGAGGTCGAGGTGGGGTAATTGGGAGAAGGAAAGAGGTAGGAGGGGAAGATTTAGAGTGCATGGAATGAGCCTATGGAAGAAAATTTGTGATGACAATGGTTCCTTTATGGATTATGTTAGGTGGCAGCTGTGGAATGAGGGAGATATCAGTTTCTAGCATGATGAATGGATGAGTTGTTACAAACTTAAAGATTTCTATCCTAGAATTTATGAAATTGCTTGTGATAAAGAGGCCAAGTTGAGTAATAATTGTGTTAAGGTGGGGGAGGGGTGGATTTGGGATGTAAAGATTATTAGAAATTTGCAGGATTGTGAAACTAATGAGTTTTGTAATTTGTTACGGTGCCTTAACAGTAGAAAACTAAATGATACCAGAGATATGAAAGTGGAAACTTGATGAGAGGAAAGGCTTTTGAGTGAGGTCTATGTACATGATACTGTGTAAAAGGGATAACTGCAGTTTAGCAACGGTGCACCCTTCAAATAGATTTGGAAGAGTAGAGCTCCGCCAAGAGTGGCTTTTTTTAATGGAAAGCTGTGAATGACAGCATTTTGACTATCGATACGCTTAAAAAAAGAGGAATCATTATGGTTAACAGATGTTACTTATGCAAATCGGATGAAGAAACTTGTAACCACTAACTGTTACAGTGCTCGAAGACCCATAGCTTATGGATTTCTGTGTTAGGGCTGTTGGGGTTGAATTAGGTTTTGGCTGAGAATGTGAATAGTGAATTATGGTCTTGGGTGGATTTTTGTAAAAAGAATAGGCATTTTTTATTTCTAATTTCACTTACTATTTTTTGGGTTGTGTGGAAGGAAAGGAACGCGAGAGCATTTGAGGACATTGAGACTAACTTTACATTTGTTAAAGATAGATGGATACAGACTTTTGGATCTATTTTGTTAAGTCATGATATCAATGATTAGGAGGATCTTGGGATGGTCATGGACCATTTAATTGATCTGTAACTAGTTGGTGTACTTTGGTGATACCCCCTTAATATCTTTGTGAATAATATTTCTTCTTTTTTCTTTCAAAAAAAAAGTGAGAGGATGATAAAAATTAAGTTACATCCATATATATATGTATATATATTTATCTATGATATATATATGGTGTATATATATTTATAAATATTGTGCATACGAGATATACATATATAAATTATAATGAATATGTGAAAATAAATTTATTTGCATGAATTTGATATAAATGTATGAAGGGAAACAAAAATATATATATGTAAATATATAAATATATTGTGTATGTATATTTTTCATGCATTATGTATAAATATATATATACATATAATTATGTATAAATAAATGCATGTATGAGTATATATGATTAAAATAATATTTTATATGCATGTATAATCCTTATGTTTTAATACGTATTTATATATGTAAACAATAATGTATGAAGGCATATATATATATTTAAATAACAATAATAAATTTTATAATCATAGTCATAAAATTTACAATATGGTGTAAGTTATAAGAGTAGAAGAATATGATAAATAAATAAATTTAGATAAAAAAAGGGTGTACTATAAATATATATATGTATGCATGGTGTATTTGTGTTTAATATAATAATATATGTATGTATAGTTTATATATGGTGTATTTGTGCTTAATATAATAATATATGTATGTATAGTTTATATATATATATAAATGAGTTTAAATGATGATAAGTATGATTAACACAATATATAAATATATGTCATAAAAATAAATGATAATGAAGGGAGATTTATATATATATATAAGTAATGTTATAAGTTTTATAATTATAATTATATAATTGTATGTTATAATATAAATTTTTAAAAAATAATATGATACATATATAAATATGTCATAATAAATGAATATGTGTTATGTGTATATAAATATATAAGCATATGTATGTGTACGTGTATATATATATATGGACGAGAAGAATAAAAAAATTAAAATTTAAGAATTAGGTAAATTATGATAGTTAGTAGAGTTGAATTTAATTGAATATAAAATTACAGAGAATTCAAATTGATTGAATAAATAATTAATAAGAATTAAATTTGATTTGATAAGTAATTGATAACTAGACTAATTAGCCATAATCTATAGTACATAGGTAAAGGTAATTTAAAATACTAAAAGGAATAAATTTTGGAAATCATTTTGATTTAATAAATATGTAAATAAATTAATAAATTTTGTTATGAATAAAATAGATGATATAAGAAAATAATTTAAGAAAATAGGAAAAGAATATTTGTAATGATTTCTTTTAGAATTGAATAAATAATAGATAAAATAAATTAAAGAAATTATTAATTAATTAAAGCTAGATTAATATAAAATGATAAGAAAGTATTATTTACGAAATTATGTAATTAATCAAATAGACAAAACAAAGAAAAGTTAAATTGAATAATTGCCTTAGTAACTTGAATAGTTGTAGAAATGAGATGAGCATGTAATATGATTGCATGAAACTCTTGGGTTCACCGCTAACCCGAGAGGGTTTAGTTGCTATGCATGTTTTTGCTAATATTTGGATAGTGTTTGGAACTCAAATCAGAATCCTTTAACTCCAAAGTTTGTAAATATATTTAGTAGCTATCCCAAAGCCACATTCGCATGTTTTTAAAAATGTTTTCAAATGAAAACCTAATTAAGTTTGGAGTAAGGTTTATAAAATTAAGGAATCAACATTGATAATCAAGTAGTTGGAAGAAATAGGAAAATGGTGATACTTAATGTTTTAATTTGTCATTTGCTTGTGGCTTGATTGTTGAATGAAGATTGCATGTTTTAAATACTGTATAATAGTTAATGATATGATGAGTTAAATAGTTTGAGTAGAATATTAATAATAATGCATATTCACCAATAAAATTATGAACACATAAAATAACTCTCACAAATAAAATAAAATCAACAAAAAAATACACATTCCTCCACCTTGGCGGATGAAGCCAAGAGAGGAAGCAGATTTGAACAATTGGCGTGATGTGCAACGATCCTGCAGAGGAGAGAAGTGTGCGATGTGTGCAGTCGGAAAGAAGGGACTTCGGGTGTGGCAGTTTCGCAGAACAGAGGAATCCAATGCGGTGGCAATGGTGGACATGGCAGGGGAAAGAGGAAACAACCAAAGGGAAGAAGAGGGAAAAAAAAAAGAAGTAGAAAAAGAGAAACAAAGAAAAACAAAGAAAAGAGAAAAAAAGAAAAAAAAAGAAAAAAAGAAGAAAAGAAAAGAAAAGAAAAGAAAAGGAAAGAAAAAAAAGAAAAAAAAAAGATGGAAAAAAAGGGAAAAAAAAAGAGATGAAAAAGAAAAAAAGGAAAAGAAACAAAAAAAAAAGAGAGAAGGAAAAAAAAGAGAAGAAAAAGGCAGGGCATGGCTTGATCTACTGTTGGATCGAGCGGAGGTGCGTACTAATCACGGTGGCACGTACGTTAGTGCGTGACTATTCCGGTGACGCACATGGTGGTGTGTGGTGGCTCCAGTATTCGGGGACCCCAAATTTGAAGGTAAAATCATTTGCCTTTTATTTCGTAGCATTTCGATTGTGAACGAGGAAAACATTGGAGCGGTAGACGAGAGGTGGAGAGAATTGCAACCTGATACCATTTTGGGTTACCGTGTTGATGACCATGGGGTTCATGCTAAGCCAACCGCTTCCTACAACGAAGTGGGGTGTATCTCTTTTTGGAATCCCAAACCCGTTGAAGGTGAAAAACCCATATATTTGTGTTAATTCATTAAGTTAGATTTAGAATTAATTTTAGGTAAGTTGAGTAATTAGACTTAGAAATCTAGGTGAGTTATTAGTAATTATAAAATTATTTCAATAAAAAGAAAGGTATCTAATAATCGATATATAGCTTCACGTAGGCCATGGAATTGGGGAGAGCGTAAAGGAGCATAAATCGATGCCTTAGTCATCCGAGAAGGTAAGTATATCTAGTAGCTATCCCGAAGCCACATTTGCATGTTTTCAAAAATGTTTTCGAGCAAAAACCTAACTAAGTTTTAAGTAAGGTTTATAAAATTGAGGAATCAGGATTGATAATCAAGTAAGTGAAAGAAATTGAAAAATGGTGATACTGAATATTTTGCTTGTTGCTTGATTGTTGAATGAATATTGCATGTTTTAAATACTATATGGTTGATGGTTGATGGTTGATGGTATGATGAGTTGAATAGTCTGAGTAAAAAATTAATAATAGTGCAAATTCACCAATAAGATCATGAACATATAAAATGAATCTAACAAATAAAATAAGATTAACGAAAAAAATACATATTCTTATATCAAATTAGGGATTCTAAATAAAACTAATAAAACTAAAAACTAAAAATAATTAAAACATTAAAACATGAATAATAAACAAAATGATAACTAAATTGTAGCGCTCGGACCGAGAAGAAGAAAAAAAAAAAAAAAAAAAAAAGAGAAAAGCCACGTCGGCAGCCCGGTCAGCAGTCCCGGCCAACCGGGGCCTGCCACGTGGTAAGACCACGTCACTCCGGAACGGGCCACGTTGGCGATCTGCGTGGGCACGATCGGACGGCCCAGATCAATCGCGCGATCGGACGGCCCAGATGCAATCGCACGGACGGCCCAGATTCAATAAAAAACGAACGGCTCAGATTAAAACAAAATGGACGGCTGAGATCAAAAGGCTAGGGGTTATAAATAGAACCCCCACACCAGACCACAAACCCTAGCCGCCTGCCGCTCGCCGGAGAAGACGAACCAGAGGCCGACCGCCGCCACCCGCCGCCGCACCGGAGAAATTTCCGACCGCCGATCGAGGTAAATTTCATACCCCCGACTCGTTTTTCTACGTTGATTCCTCCTGTGGCCAAATCGAAGCCAAAATCCCGGCCAAACAGCCGGAATACGCGGCCGAAGACCAGCGGCGCCGCCGCGCCCCCTCTCGGTTTTTGCCTCCGACGAGGCCCTTCCCGGCCTCCGTGTGATGTAATTTTTATATCACCGTGATCACCATTCTTTTCTCTACAGGTTGACCAGAGCCGAATCACCAAACCACGAACCTCGCCGGAGAGCCGCCGCACCCGAGAGCGTCACCGCCGGTAAGCTCCGTTTCTCCGTGATTTTTTGGCCCCCCGAGGGCCCTAGGGTTGTTTTCTCGCAGGGACCGATGCGAGTGTGGCCGATTTCGGCCGGAAACGGCCGAAAACAGCCAACCCGAGGCGAATCGCCGCCGCTTGCGGCGGCGCCGTCGCCAGAGCACGGCGGAGCCGCCGTGCCGGAGTTGCGATATTGGCCAAAAAGGGGCCTTGAGCCTAATTTGCGATTTTTTGGAACACGTGCAGGTACCGTTAGTGTGTTTCAGTTCTCCGGGAAAAAATTCAGGGAAAATTAGGGATGGCCTGTAGGCGCACTGTGAATCGTATTCGGATCCCGAAAACAAGTAAGGATCGCTCACCCTATTTTTCTATCACGGTATTAAAGTTCAAAATGATAAAACGGTATTTCTTGAATTAACGCATGTGTGAAATTGCTTAAGGTTGCTAATGGAGCCCGAGTCTAGTGTGATTGATGATTTACTGTTATTTGGCCTGTTTTACAGCTTTAAATGCATTATGAGGTTTGATGTGTTCATTTTATAGTTTCGAGTGCATATATTACTGTTTTATTAATTATGGGTTGAATGACTGAAGAACTGATACTGTATGTTGTCTGTTTGGCATGAATTACGATTTGCTTGTTTAAATGTGAATTGATGATGCTTATTGAGGAAAAGGAAAATGAAACATTGTGTAGACCGATAATTGTATGATGGGGTCAGCCTGACTAGATATCTTGGGAGATGGTGGCCGGACCGGGTCCGTAGGGAACCCTACCGGGATTGTGGTCTCACATGCCGGACGGGGTATGGAGATCTTATGGTCTTGGCGCCCATACCGGACGGGGTATGGGGACGGCCCGTTTCACCCTCATACCGGACGGGGTATTGAGGTTTATGGTTTTGGCGCCCATACCGGACGGGGTATGGGGACGGCCCGTTTCACCCTCATACCGGACGGGGTATTGAGGTTCATGGTTTTGGCGCCCATACCGGACGGGGTATGGGGACGGCCCTGGAAACTGATTATGAATGTTAAAGATTAACGGGTAGCGGAACCCCTATGGACCCCCACGGATACTAGTAGGCTGGTAAATGAGAAAAAAGATATGTTGTACAATGATTGAATTGCAAGAGGCGTGATAAGTGTTATGTTTTACAGCTTAGATTATTCAATGATTATGATAATGTTATTGTTTTTCTCATATTGTTTTCATAAATTCCACCAAGGTAAGTGGATGGTAAAAGTTTTATTATTGATAAAAGGTTTTGTTGTAAATTATGCTCCATTGGTCTTTTTGTGTTTTCTACCCACCTTTATCTCCGTGACGGTGAGATATCGTGATGTTCTTACTGGGCTAGTGTAGCTCACTCCTTAATTAACCATTTCAGATCAGGAAGACATGGTTCCCGAGCCCGTTCCGCAGGAGGACGACGAAGGAGATGCCTAGAGACTCTGTAGTCATACGCATAGTTTATTTTCGAGTTTTCTTTCTTAGTTAGTTTAACCTTTTATATTTTAAGTACGTTTCTGGTCTTTCGTGTAAGGGATGTTAACTGAAATTTTGATCTCGCTTCCGCATTTGATATATTTAAATACTCATTTCTTTTTAATATTTCCGGGACCGTTACAGTTGGTATCAGAGCCAGGTTTCCTCGGACCCATCCCTTACACAATAATGCCTTAGAGTAATACTCACCGATATATCGTTACTCAATCATTCCTTGTGAAAACGAGTACACGGGAATGAGGAGAGGAAGGCCCCCACTAAACCAAGCGGCCCAAGATAATTCGCTTCGGGAGGATTTAGACAGACTATTTGAGATGGTGGAGGCTCTCGTAGCTGCCCAGCAAAGGCAAGAGGAGAGAAGGGAGTTACCCGGACCTCCTCCGCTAGCGCAGGTTGCCCCCGCTACAGCAGGCTGATCCCGAGCCACCCCGGCAGGAGCCTGTTCCTCCACAGTACCACCCGGCGCCACAGCCGCGGTACGACCCTGTACCACAGCCACGGTACCAGCAGGCGCCGCCACAGCATATTCCAGTGCCCCCACCCCATCAGCAGGCGCCACCACAGGGTCCCCCAGTTCACCCTCAGCCGGCCCCAGTTCCTTTACCTCGGGACCCCGCTCCCTCCTTGATCGACCCCGGCTTCATAGAGAGGTTGTCTACAGGGCATGTGCCGTGGAGATAGCAGATAGAAAATTGAGGGTAGACCTGATAGGGTTAGACACAGGGGATTTTGATGTAATCCTAGGAATGGATTGGCTGGCGGCGTATCACGCCACCATAGACTGCTTTAATAAAAAGATTGTATTTAATCCTCCCAACGAGGAGCCATTTACAAGTTAATAAAATTATTCGGTACTGATTCTCCCTAATGACAAATTCTTTTCTTCTTAATTCCCAGTGCGTTGATATTGTATTTTCCCTAACTAGGTAAACCCAAGAAGGAAGTTTGTATCCAGGAGATTCCAGTAGTCCGAGACTTTCCAGACGTATTTCCGGATGAACTGCCCGGTCTACCAGGGGACAGAGAGGTCGAGTTCACCATAGACTTACAGCCAGGAACCCAACCCATCTCGGTAGCTCCTTACCGAATGAGCCGCATCGAAATGGAAGAGCTAAGGAAACAAATCACTGAGCTACAAAACAGTGGCTTCATTAGACACAGCATTTCCCCATGGGGTGCCGGGGTTACTTTTGCAAGGAAAGGAGATGGAACGTTGAGGCTGTGTATTGATTATAGAAGGATAAACAAGGTAACAATTAAAAACAAGTACCCTCTCCCCCGGATTGATGACCTTTTCGATCAGTTGCAGGGTGCACAGGTCTTTTCTAAAATAGATCTACGATCAGGTTACCATCAGGTAAAAGTGAGAGCAGAAGACATCCCCAAGACGGCATTCCGAACCAGGTACGGACACTATGAGTTCCTGGTTATGCCGTTTGGGCTAACCAACGCCCCGGCCATCTTTATGGATCTAATGAACAGAATCTTCAGAGAGTTTTTGGATAAATTTGTCATCGTGTTCATCGATGATATCTTAGTCTACTCAAAGAGTAAAGAAGAACATGCTCATC